TTACAAAAAAAAAAAAAAAGAGTAACTGGCCACTGAAACCCAGCTGGTGTTCTGCTAGTGCAGCTTTGAAGCCAGAATCTTATTTTTTGTGGGCTAATTTGGCTCCTTTTCAATGAATCATAACTTCAGTACACCAAAAACCATCTCAAAATTATATGGGTGTATTTAAGTGTCTGACAGAGTAGTTGTCTGAATGACCAGCTGTTAAAAGGGAAAACAGACTAGCAAACACAGTTCTTTTGTTAAATAATAATAGAAATACATCTGGGCATTAGGCGGTAGATAGACTGTACATGCACAATCTGACTGAGGAGTGGTTCTTTATTTCATGGTGCATTTATAAACTGTAAAGACATCCTGACAACAACCTGATGTAAGGGAAACAATAGTAATAATCTAGGAAAATTAATCTAAGCTGAATGGCTCCCTCCCTAAAGGTCAGTAACCAGGGTTTTTTTGTTCATAGAGAATTGCAGCTCAATGTGGCCATAACCAGCTGGGTCAGGCAACAATCCCCTAATTTTTATGGGCATCTTTAGACCCATAGATGTTTTATTTCCCTTAAAACCAGACAGCTTTCCCTTGTAATTTTCCATATGAAAGTAAATATGAATACAAATAAATGTTGCTGTGGACAATAAAGAAAGCCAGTTCAGGCATTTAGAGCAGTATATCCCCAGTCATTCAAAACTAAATGATCGAACCTCCTAATTTTGAAACCAAATTACATTTTGAAACCAATTGATTGAACCCCCTAACCATCCCACCCTCACTACTGACACTCCTAATTCAAACTTCAGCTTCTCCTGGTCAGAATACCCCCTGAGTAGCCCGTAAAGCAGGTGGTAGAAGCAAAGTATTCCTTAGTTCAGGGTATAATTTACTGGCTTAAAGGCGGGCTATAGTCCGAAATAATTTCTTTTTCTGCTGTTCTACCGGCTATAGGGCTTTTTTTTTTTCATTCCTTTGATATGAGTTTTTGATTATTAATTTGCTCTCCCTTACTTCTTCTGATCCTCGGTACTGTTTGACGCTGGAGACCGGGGAATTTAATTATACCACCCTGTGTAATGGTGATGACTGTGTCCTAGTTGTGCATGTGCATTGAAGGCGTACCTATTATGTTGTTGCTAGGTAGCTGATGGGGCGATTCCCACTTGGTGACATATTATTATTATAGTTCAATACTGAGGGAAGGAGAGTCTTTATAATAAGATTTCAGTTCTGAAGAAGTAAAAATAATTTCACATTCTTTCAACTTTGTTTTTGGGCGACTCTCTTCATTGAGGCTTTAAAAGAGGCCATTGAGTGGGAAGATAAGCCTTTCATCCCTAAGAAACTTAGGAATTAATATCCTGACCACAAAAAAAAGTTTCATAGAAGAATGTCTGGAGGTTGACCGCCTTGATTGCGCCAGTTGAGGAAGACTTTCTGCAGCATTTTGAGCAGACAAGATTTCACATATCTGGGTCCAGGAGAGTGCAGAGAGGTTACCGGATAGATTTTGTTTTTAGAAAAACCCATTCAGCCAGTTTTTTTCAGAACAAGAGTTCTGGCAGATACAGAAAGGAACACATGCCTTTGAAAGTATGTAAAATAACTGTTACATTCAAAAGCAGATATTCCAGTTCTAAGGCAGGAAAGAGGATCTGGAGAATATTTGCAAATTGTCCTCGTCAAGAAATCATCAGATGGTTTTCAACTAGGTTAAAATTCTTACAGGCAGAGAACACTACCAATAATGCTTGCTGCCGTTAAGCGCAGCCCCTCCAAAGTTTATGAAGGTTCTTTCAGTTTTGATTGATCAGATTCTTCAGCAAGGTATCCAGATTTACCATTGCCTGGATGATTTATTAATCTTGGCCAGGTATTTGCATGTGCTGATATTTGCATATAAAGATGGTACTTCATACACAAACCAGTTTTGTTGGCTGGTGAATCACTGAAAGAGCCAGCTTCTCCAAAGTCAATTGCTGGTGTATTTGGGAGTTCTCTTCAACACAAAACAAGCCAAAGTTTTCCTATCCAGGAAGAAGAGAATCCAAGTCCAGTAGTGAAACTAAAATATGTAAAAATAGTTTTGATGACAGCCAAGAAATGCATGCAATTTGCAGGAATTCTTACCTGCATTGTTCTGGTGGATCCATGAGCTAGTGACATCAACAAGTCTGAGAGTCAGAGAATTCCTGCTAAAAAATGGTCAGGATGTCACTTGTATGGTGGGCAGTACAACAGAATTTGTGGTTGGGTAGACCCTTAAGTCCTGGAAGAGGGTCTATACTCAACACCAATGTCAGCCTCAAGGGTTGGGGGAATTATCTAAACAATTCACACACTCAAGGTCAGTGGCCTCCTTCCTTGCTGGCCATTTCCAATGAATTGGAGCTGACCGCAGTAATTCAAGTTTTCAAAGTCTTTAAACAGAAATTGAAGGGTTGGTGTGTTAAGATCCTTTCAAACAACAAAATAATGGTTCCCCTATCTGACCAAACAAGGGGGCATGAGGAGCCTTCCACTTCTAAACATATATTCAGAGATTTTTCATTGGGCAGAGAAGCACATGGAACATTTGTTACATTTTGATGCAACCAGTGGACTTTGAATTTCAAGTATCTCTAGGAAATTCACGAAACTTGGGAAGTGGATTTCATGGCCCTCGGCCAGGATGCTCTAATGCATTCTTGGACGATCAAGTTGGTTTATGTGTTTCCTCCGGTGGCCCTTGCACTATAAGTATTGTTGAAGATTCAATAAGAGGGAGTCCATGTTGTAGTAATACTACTATTTTGGCCCAGGAGGCCAGGTTTTCCCCTGCTGTGGAGCATGAAGAGCACAGAACCTGTTCCATTACAGCTGGTCAAGGATCTTTTGCTTTAGGGGAGACTCTACCATACAAACATTGTCCAGCTAAATCTGACAGCTTGGATGCTGTGAGGTGCTGTTTGCGTTGGTTAGTCATATATCAGAGCCTGCTATAAATACATTTAAAGCAAGAAAATCATCTACCAATTTTTCTTATATTAGAGTTTGGAAATGCTTTGAAGACATGAAAGGGTTAAGCTACAACATTTCAGCTTTCAACCGACATGGGAACTAGATGGGCAATCTTTTGATACATAAGTATCTCAAGGCTATGAGGAAGCTGAGATCTCTTTTGAATATCCTATTCCCAAAATGGGACCACAATTTAGTCTTAAAGGAGAACTATGGGGTTAAGGCTTTTCCCCATAGTTCTCCTTAGGGTAACGGGGAGGACACAAACTAGCGTCCTCCCGTGACCCTAGGCTCAGTATGCCGGGAGCTGTAACTGAGACGCCGCAGTATACCGCGAGCTGCTGCTCGCGGTATACTGAGACGCCGCAGCTGAAGCAGATCCCGACAATTGTGTCCCGGGATCTGCCCAGCTGTGTGACTGACAGCTGGCTCTGCCTATCTAGAGGCAGAGTCAGCTGTACCCGCCCCCTCCCCCGTCCATTCCGTCAGTCAGCGCTGGCGGATCAGAGCGGGGAAAATCCAGCCCCTCTCCTGTCACGGCATGTGTTCGCTCACCTCCCGATCTACTGAGCCGACCTGTGACAGTCTGTCACAGGTCGGCTAGAACTATGAGGTGAGTGAAAAGCTCTGATTGTTCCTTTTTTTTATCCAGTTGAGACTTGTTCGCTATGGCACCTTACCTTAACAACAGTTTTTCTAATGGTGATCCCATCAGCTAGATGTGTATCAGAACCTTACGGTTTTTCCTCAAAAGAGCCTTACTGTGTTTTTTTTCTAAGATAGAGTCATTGTATGGCCTTTAAGTTTTTTTTTTATCCAAGCCGGCTACACCATTTTGACTGGGAATCTGTCTCGCTAGCACTGATACATTCAAACTTGTCAGAGTCTGATCAGGATTGGGTAGCTCTGGATTTACACCAGGTATTATCAATCCACTTAAGCAGAACTAATTTTGCAAGGATGACAATCTATTTTTTATTAGGCCTGGGCCAAAGGAAGAGAATAGCAGCTTCCCCAAGATTCTCTATGTTTGGCTTGTTAAGATGAAAAGATTGGCCTACTAGACTTTGGGTCTATCTTCTCCTTTGGAGATTTGGGCTTATTTAACAAGGGCACAACAGCTTTTTTTGGCAGCTGTGGCAAAGGTTTCTGCTAACAGTTTGCAAGGCAATGAGCTGGCTACACCTAATATCTTCATTCATCACTACAAAATTAATGTGATGTCTTGTTCATCTTTTTCCACATTGGTCACATCCTCAGCCTTAACTCTTTAAATATGTCTTTGTTTGAATTATGAATGTGTATTGCATGTTTTTATTTGGTCATTACCCTACCCTTACTGTATACAAATAACTCTTACTGCTACGGTTTCTTTCCCTTTAGTCTGAGATCTGTCATCACAAGCTAAGACCACTGTACTGTTTGCATTCAGCTTGCTTGAAGTCTGCATTGCACAACACAGAAATTAACATGACCATTGAACAGAGAACAGTAGAGGTAACAAGGATCCCTCTAGGTATGCTTTCCATGGTTAACTATCTGGAATTACATATGCTGGGCAAGACTCAGCTAATGTTACACAGGAGCTGCCTTTTCCCGCAATTTGTGATCTGTTTCGCTAGTTATTGCATGGGTGTAGTGCAGCACAGAAATCCTCATTTACGGCCCCTATGCTTAAGACATCAATCCAAAAATATGAGCAGTACAGTGCAGACAAGCTAAATAGAAACAAAGAGATAAGAGGTTATATTTGCAAAGTTGTTTGGCTTCTATGGATATATTAAAACAGTTCATGTGTTTAATAAGCACAGTAATCCTTTTATGTGTATGTATAGCCAAAACATTTTTAAGTTTGTGATAGAGTAGGGAAGGAATAAAACTATGGTGACTAGCTGTGTGTTCATGATCTGACGGCTAAAACTTACAATTTTATTCTAGACTAGCACTTAAACATAAAATGCCATATCATGCTAGGACACCTATTTCTGTGCACAGTACATTCTCTTTATGTCTTTCTTTTTTTCTCACCATTCTCATAACAGTCATCAAAACACTGCGCTGCCTGCTATCCCAACTCATACAGTTCTCTCTCTCATTGTTATTTTCCTCAGTGGTTAGTCAGCTTGAAATGAGGCATTTATCCAACAGTACTGACTCTAAGACTTCCTATTGCTTGATCCTTACATCATACACTACCCGATGATAGCAAATGTCTGTCTGATCTCTACCAGTATTTGTGTTAAGTGCATTGCATACAGCCAGCATTACACCATCAATGTGAAAGTTTGGCAAGATTTCTCTAACATTAAAAGGCTTAATTATCCAGCAGCATTGTTACAAGACACTTTCTGATGTTTTCAATATCAATTACAATGCGAGGATGAAGCCTAAGCATAAAAAGGAAGAAAATGATTGAGAGTAAAAGCTGTAATCCTAATAGAGAAAATACTTCAGACATAAGTTATGTCGCATGTATACCCAAACTTCAGCTTTCAAAAGCAAATGACACAGGAATAAACTAAGCAACAGAGACAATCTGGTAAACCAAAGGAAGAGCTAAATCTTATTGATGAATTCTCTGTCACAAATCAGAAGAAGAATGTAATCTCCTTTATAAACAACACTGAGTTTTGATACAGTAGCTAAGTCACTCTGATTTCTGATCAGCAGATTAGGAGATTAATGATACAAAAAAAAAGGAAAATAATAATCAGTGCCAAACAGTACAAGGCATTGGTATATTTTGTGAAGCCAAGTGATCATCAAGCAGAGAAAATGACAGGGAAGTAAATACCCTTTTCATGTATATCCAACAGCCATACACAGCTATAGACACTATATTTTAATACAGTGACCATTTTCACCAATTTTAACTCGATAGACTTTCCTAACAAGTAATAAGGGAGAAAAGTTCCAGCTTGCATGCTTTTACCAGAAGTTTTTGTTTTGTGCAAGTTTTACCAAAGCTTTAGTTTAAGTGCAGCAAAATATCATGTTTTTACCTGGATGGAGAACCACACGTCACAGGACAAGGTGACTCACCTCCCCAAGATGCGAGTCTCCAAGGGGTCCCTTTGTTTCCGGATTTGCAATGATGATACGAACACCTGGGAGGATCTGGTGAGATGAAGAATATTTGATATCAAGACAATGGGTACATGAGTCATACAGAAGCAGGACAGAATACAGAGGTATTATTAGAGGAAATATTAGGTGTGCAGATCAGACTTCTTAAATTTGAACTTTTGTTTCAATACAGAAAACATAATACATATGTCCCCAGGGCAGATGTGCCTTCTTCTTGCAATTACAAGTGAATTGGAAATAGGAGTCCAACACTTCTTGGATTGTCATATCCTTTTATCTGCCGGACCCTTGCCTGCCACTGCATCTCCTGGATTGGTGAGCAGTTCAAAGCAAAGCCTCATGCTTAGGCTGGCAGAGGGGAGCTCTCTTGCTGACAGCTGGCTGTAATGAAGCACACATCCATCATCTTGTGGCTCTTAAAGCTTTAGAGAGATTCAGGAGTCATTTTAAAAACCAAATTGTCTGCAAGTGGGTTTCTGCTGTCAGCTTCAGTATGACGTTCTGTTGCTCACAGATCCAGGATACATAGCAGCTAGAGGACTGGGAGGGATGCAGCAGCAGATAGTAGAATTGCACACCTGTGAGTGTTCGATTTGTGTAAACTACAAAGAAAAAGCAGATCAGAGAACAAGCGGGGACACAAGTATAATTTTTTTTTTCTGTGCTAAAACAAAGGTGGTGACAAGGTCTTTTGATAGCCTCCCTCTCCCACTTAACCCCTGTTGCCACCAATTACAATGGCTTCTTTATATATGGAGAAAACACCATACTGGTTGACACCACAGTCCAGAATAATGACAAGCGAGCCGTAGAGTTGGGGTACAATGCTAAATAGGGGAGAAATCTCCCCTCCAGCAGCTTGCAGTTATTTCAGATCCTGCAAGGTTATCTGAATTGAGATCAATCAATTTTAGAGGGCTTAAGGAGCAACTGCACCCAAATGGAGTACTCTAGATTGCAGTGTTGCATGGTTCAATACTCTTGAAGAATACATGGGATAGAAATATGTATTATGTACCCTCTAAATGATTACCCACAGAAATACATGCAAAACACAGACTGGTAACAATGCCAGCTTGACAGAAAAGCCAAGTTCAGCCCATCATAGCAATGCCAGCAGTGGATCTTCCTTTGATCTCAGACAGCTAGGGGAGCAAATCCTGCCCCATTCTAATCAAAACAGTTTACTTTTGGATGACATGGGAAAATGTTTTTCTTCAGCTAGAGTTGTGCTTTAACTTTTAAGAGAAAGGAGACAGACTTTTCAGAAGCTCTTAAAGAATCACAGAAAGCACTGGTAACCTTACATCCCATGGGGGAAGGGGGCATGCATCATTTCTTAAGGACCGTCACTTGGGCAAGGCTGCATATGCAAAAGGTAACCAAAAATTTGACTAGGATTAAAATTGAACTCCAGACAAGGTTTTTCATTTTCTAAATTTGGGCAGAGAACTTAGAAATAGTACTGACCTAATGAACATTGTCAGTAGGGCAGAAGGTAAAGGAAAAACATTATTTCCACAAAAGGATTAGAGTGAAATCTCCAAATGGGGGACATTCTGGTTGGAATCTTCCCCTCACTTTCAGCAGGGTCTTGGAATTGGAAATGAGAGGAATTCAAGCCAATGGGACATAGACAACAAAAAACCAAAACAATTGTCTTAACAATTCCCTACTATACTATATTCCCAAAATTAGAAAAGAAAATGTTAGTGGTGACTTTATCTTAATTATGGAGCTCTGCATCCACCATAAACACCCTGAAAACACAAACACATTTGGACATTACCTTTAACAACTATTCGAGTATGGTATAAATATTATTTCTTTGATATATTGGAACTGACATACCTTTCCTGATTCCATGAGGGGCAAACTGTGAGGAGATCCTCTTTCTACTAATCGGACTCTGAAACAAAGAGAGAGAAAATATTCTATTTTTATTAATAAGTGCACACAGTATAACTAACCCAGTGATGTAAATTATAGTAATTATAAGCAGTATAAATTGAACCTGTTCTTTGCAGAGCAGAACATTAGGGAAGATTGTTGTCGAAATGAATAGTCTGGTGAAAGGGTCTATTTAACGCAAATCTGTTCCAGGGGTCAGGGCAAAGCAACAATTTCACTTTGATCGCCCCTCCCCAGCAGCACATACCAATCACACCGGCACAGGTTTTCTTTGTGTGTATGCCATTAGGACCAATTCACTATGCTACAACTATTATTATTTGTCAAAACAACCACCATTACAATTGTTATGACAAAAATGCATGCATCACGACGGCTTAGTGAACTGAACATTTTACATAGACTTCAGTGATGCGAAACCTGCTAGGACACCAAAACTTCTATTTAAAAACAGTAGGCTGCCTCTGCTGACTTCTCAATCTGCAAAAACTAGTTGCCTAGCTGCCATGCTGACCCTCTTTCTTCATTATTTTGAGTTACTAACCCAGAATATATAGGCGGATAAAGACTTCTGACTATACTGCAACTTTACTGATCACTACACTAGCTCTGGATCAGTAACTCAGGAAATATTGAAGGCAAAGGAAGTATTGAAGACAGGGCCAGCATCAAGCCAGCAGTTTTATAAGCACAACTAACAAGAAGTAATCTACACACAGCTAGTCAGCATTCTTTCAAGTTTATTAATCGAAAGTGATGGCAATGTCCGCCAGTTTCCTGTAGCAGAGACTGGTGGGGATTACCATCAGCTTCAATTATTAAACTTGGAAGAACACTGGTTAGCAGTGAACAGCTTGCTTCTTGTGGATTCTGGTTAGAAATAGGGGAGTGGACACTCTTTGGTTGGCATGGCACCCATAGTGGCACAGCTGCAACTTTCTAGCATCTTTAGATATAGGGTAGCGATGGTGTCCACTGTATTTATCTTTTAGGTTTATTTTAAGGCATATTATTTCAGTACTACAAGGATTCTTCATACAACAGTGACCATATATGTGTGTGCACAATACAATGAATTTATAAGTTTACCAGCAGGTTCAAAATAGAGCAATAATCCTTGCCTGCTGAAAGCCTCCCAAATCCCATACCATCAGTCATGTATATTGTGATGACACAAAATCTAAATCGTATTCAGGGTGAAGGAGGTTAAGATTTAAAAGAAGCTAAAATGGAAGATAGCATAACACAGCTTAAAATCTGAACAAATAGAGTATGGCTCCTGCTGACAGTCTAACGCAGTTAACACAATTAAAGAAGTTGTATTTTATAAAGGGTCACAAGACGAATTGGCTGAGGCCAGGGACCAAGCAGTTTCTTGCCAAATACAAAATCTGAGGTCATCCACAAGAATCTTTGATCTGTTCTAAATGATGTAATGTTTGTTGATATTCCCTGCCAGGCACAAGCCGCAGCTGCACCCAGCTTTACAGAAACAAAATGTTTCTTCACTCTAATTAAAGGGGCATTCAAGCATGATACCATATTGTTTTCAAAAAATACAAGACTGCTAAAACTACCACATTGTAATGTAGCTGGCAATAGTGGTTCAATATCACAGAACAGGTCCATATTAAGTCACTGATAGAGTACAAAACATGAAGAGATTAGTGAACAGGTTCTTTGTCTAAATTCTAGCATATAAGAAGAATATTACGTCTCTAAATGTATTAAACCAACTCACACAATTGGGCACATATCTACGGGCTACTCTGATCTGCCATTGCCCCGTTATACACACGACCAATCAAGTCACATTAATGCCCCTGGAGCATTCCCTGAGCAGGTGCCACAGAATAGACGCTGGGACATGGATTTATTATATCTTGGTTCACGTCTTAGACATGGTGCAGCTTCACTTTGTCTGCCCAGGCAGTGGCTTTATTTAAAATCCAGTAAGGGCTTTTTTGGCAAGACAACTATTTGGGAAGACTGACCATGCAAAATGGGACTGAGTAGGAGTCGGAACCCATAAACTTGAGGTTTGACGTGCCCGAAGTTCAGCAATAAACTCTTTCTGTATTTTTGCTGCAATTCTTTTATATCTCGATTTACTGTCATTCACCAGGCATCCTGCATAAAGGAAAATGTGGGTATACAGGAAAGGCTACACAGTTACAGTTAACACTTTTATCAGTGGATATACTGCGCTTGAGCATTCAGCATTGTGCAGTGAATTGCACAAAATGTGTGTTTCTAATATTTCACTCTAATATACCAACAAAAAAATTATTTCCCAATTCTCTGAAGTTCTGGTATTAATATACCAACAGCATTGCTATGTCAAGGAAATAGTAATGAGCTACATTTCCCCTAGTGACCAACAGACTAGTCACATTACAGCCCTCTGTAGTTCTAATAAGTTTTTCAGCAAATAAATAATTTATGACTTTTTGGAAAATAGTCCGCTGTTATATTCACAAAGAATGTTCATGACTGTCCCTGAGTAACTGGAGGTAGTTTTGTTGCAATATGCTGTATGTCTGCTGAATAAAACCTATTTGTATCTGTGTACGAGATGTATCATTTCAAAGGCTGATGAATGATACATATAGCACACAGACACAAATAGGATTTATTTCTCCTTGGACTTATCCACATTTTGAACTTTTATATCCTGAAAGTACAGAATATTTAAACCTAAGAAAATGTAATATATATTGAAGCTTACTAGGGCAGTGGCTGCAATCGATTTCTTTTTTTCAGGACTTTTTTTCCTTCATTTTCACCTGGTGATCCAGCCAGTAACTCACTTCCTAATCTAGGTTTATAACACTTAATGTACTGTATCTATGGAGGCAGCAGCATTGTCACCCAAGACTGCTTATCCCTGATTAAGGGCTTGCTCACAACAGGTATACTGAGCTACAATGATCAGCATTGATGAATGCAGGAACACAGAGAAAACCCATTTTGTTTTTTTACATATATCAAACAAATCAAAACGCTCTGGTATGTTTAACAGACCAAAGAGGAACAAATAGAAGAACTTCAAGGTGTTTACATGCACTTAAAAACCCCCCAAAACTCTACGCAAATGAAATATGAACCTTTGAAGTGGGGCTACACCCGCACTGCAACTGTTAGATCAGAGGTAGCAAACCTCCGGCCCTCCAGCTGTGGTGAAACTACAAATCCCATGATGCATCTCTCTTCGGGAGTCATGTCTGTGAGAATCTTGCAATGCCTCATGGGATTTGTAGTTCCACCACAGATGGAGGGCCGGAGGTTTGCTACTCCTGGGTTAGATGCTCATTTTGTCTAGGGAGCTAAATAACAGAGTAAAGCTGCCCACACACCTGACTATTATCGTACGATAATCGCGGGAGAACACGCGATCATACGATAATTGTAAGGTGTAGGGGAACCGTGCGACAGCATTTACTGTACGGTCGCACGACTGTCGTCTTACGAGCACGCTAGAAAAGACGGTAGCGTGATCGCAAGACGAAAGCCACACTGGCCGAGGTGCGCAAGCGCACACTGCCCGCTCACAATTGCAATCATCCATCAGCGGGGAGGGCTTGTGATGATCGCAAGTACGATCAGCCTGTCCAAGATGGGCAGATCGTACAAAATTTTAATCACCTTACAACCATTGCACAACGAAAGTCGTGCGATGGTTGTAAGGTGTATGGCCACCTTTATACCAGAAGCACAATCACAGCTAGCTCCTAGACTAGTCACTTCAATATGTCTCCTCCTCCACTCCAGTGATAAAATGTCCCTTGGCATCCACAAGTCTACACACTGTATACAATGTGATGACTCATTGGACCATAGGGGTGCGAGGCTGCAGAGACCAGTCTGGGAGCCAGCCAGGATTGTGCTTTGGGCGAGCATAATTTTGTATTTTAGCTCCCTAGACAAAGCAAGCACTTAACCCTTGCAGTGCGAGGGTAGCCCCACTGCAAGGGTTAAGGTTTATTTGGCCAGAGTTCTCCTTTAAAATGAAGTTCACTAGCATTTTAACTATTTGATTTTTATAAAGAGACTTTAAACTCCTCCAGAGGCACAATTACCTTTCCCCAGCCTATACTCCTTACTCTCTTCTAATTAATTACTGCACTACAAAAAATTTCAAGAAATACTGAAATACTTATTTAAATCCATGGCCACATGAAGCATCAGGTCTTGAGTCTTCTCTCCTCTTCCAGCAGGTGCCCACATTGTTGCCTGGGTGATATGGACACTTTCCATTTGCTATCCAGTAGCAAGATCTTCTCTGGCTACAGAGCGGTTGAATGGGGACTGTTGGCCACAGACTCAATTGGGGGTCTGGGCTCTTCCAAACTATTTAACTTCTTAGTTTTACATAATTCCAGTGTAACTTAGGCTGAATGTCTAGTTTTATTGTTCTTCTGGAAGGTGATTTTCAACCCCTGCTATGGGTATGGCTCACAACTTGCCTATATTTGACTGCATAAGTCCAACTACAATTTCTAGCAGGATAAAATGAAATATTTCACTCAACATCCTCTGCCTGCTCATCTAGCACGGCAGTACAAGGTCCCAGGTCAGAAATATTCCTGGAATGGGAAGCATCCCTGCAGAAGGCTGCTAATCATTAGTGCACAAGTAAAACCAGGAAAGAGGAGTTTATTTGCTACAGTACAAAGAATTAATGAGGCATCTGGGAAGACGTATAGCACAGCATTCAGAGCAGCCAGTGTGAAATAGGTCTCTGAAGCAATTACAGGCTGTGTCCAAGTGCTCTAAATATGGACACTTTCAGCATTCTGCTTTCCATAATTAAAGCTTCCCATTAAATATTTCCTTTATTTATACATAAGAAATACGCTCTAAAGGAAAACAGCTGATCATGTTTCTATTTCATATAAGGAGAAAAGTACAAAGTTAAAGCAAATATACTGCCATATATTTTTCACAAGGCAGTATGCACATTGCAAATACATCTATATACATTCAACTGAGCTTGACATTATCAAAAGCTAAAAATATATTACTTGAAGCCAGTAAGTTGGAACAATGCTGCAAGAATCAAGACTAAACTAATACAACTTTGCAAGCCTGATGTCTCCAGCTAAGTCTGCCTTGCTAGACCTTGCGTGTCAATGATGATTTGTTAAACCAGTATGGGGCCAGGAACATTACTGTACATCGATCCAATTAATGCTATGTACTTTACAACTAGGGCCATCTGCAGTGAAGAGCAATTTCAAACAACAGATGAAAGCAACAATGAAGTATGATCTACTATTGCTCTACAATAAACAGCAACTGTGCAAACATCAGAAAGTTTACTCAATTTCATTTACAGCTGAACTATGGGAGCATAAAATGTAATGCAAAAGAGTATCAGCATGCTCACGTTTACTAAACTTCCCATCCATTACCTTTTAAAACTTCTCAGAGACTGGAAAGGTTTCTTACAAATCAACTTTCAGAGTGTGTAAAGGCTGTTATTTCCTGTAATGGTATGTGATCAACTAACCCATCTGGCTATGTGCTGAGTGACCTCACTGCTCTCTTGCAGTTCTATCAAGGTGGCGCTAATGGCACCCAGTCAGTGCTGCTTGCAGTAAGAAGTTCCTATCTGCTAATTTTCTCTTTTGCTACCCACCTAGCCCCACCTGCCTCTTCTGATAGACATCTTGCAGTATCCAATACCCAATAAGCTCAAGGCGCTGACAACAGTGTACAATGCATCATCTGAACATGTATCTGACTCAGCACCCATTAGATTCACTACTGCTGCTTACATACACTGAGTGGCCAGATTATTATGACCACCTGACATTTGTAGGCAAATTAGCTATAATTTCGCACTGAAGTTGCTTGAGGGCCAGACCATTATAAATAGGGAAGCAGGTTGTTTACCACGACAGTAGAAGTGATTTTTTTCCTGACGATACGGGTAAACAACGCGATTTAACAGCCTTTGAACGCAGGATGATTGTTGGTGTTCGGAGCCATGGAGCCAGTAGCAGCAAAACATCAGAATTTGTTAAATGTTCAGGAGCAGCTTTTGTTAAAGTGTTTAAAGACTGGACTGTCAGCCGAAAATCTGACTCAAGCTGGTGCGGGCAGTGTTATGGTTTGTGTCATGTTTTCCTGGCATGATTTGGGCCCTTTAATTCGTGTGAAACAACGTCTGAATAGCACAACATACCAAAGTATCGTTGCTGATCAAGTTCATCCTATCATGTTGATGGCGTATCCCAATGGAGATGGCCTCTTCCAACTAGACAATGCGCCATGCCACGGTGCTCGTATTGTGCAGGAGTGGTTTCAAAAACATGAGGGAGAATTTACCTTGCTTAGGTGGCCCCCACAATCACCAGAGCTCAATCCAATTGAGCATTTGTGGGACAAAGTTGAAAGAGCCATCAGGCAGCTGGTTCCACAACCATCAAATCTCACAGAACTGGACAGTGATATTCATCAGGCCTGGTGTCAGATTCCTCGCATCACCTTTCAACATCTCGTGGAGTCAATGCCAAGAAGAATCGCCGCAGTACTGAAGGCAAAAGGTGGCCCAACGAAGTACTGATGGGGTGGTCATAATAATCTGGCAACTCAGTGTAAGTGCAGGTGCCTGAGTAATGACCTCTTCTAAAGATGGACTACGACATGCAAAATGGCACTTACATTTACTATGCCATTACTACATACCCAATTCATATAGATACATTAGCACTGGTATAGGAGCTTGATGATTATATGATTAACTATATAGTACCGGGGTAGCATTTGAGGTATATCGGTGTACCTTATGGTGTTTTAATATGTTTTATTTCATATAAGTCTATTTAGTGGTGGATTACAGCACTAGGTCCAGATGGATTTTCTTGTAAGATAAAATTATAACTAAAGGATTCTTTTTTATAAATAAATGTATTACATGTTGGGAGACAGTGGTGTGCCTTTGAATTCTACCAGAGAATATATATTTTTTGTTGTTGCCAGAGCACTGACATTGGAGTTTGCAGCACACTCCCAAAAGCTAGCCCACACATTGCGTGCAGGCAGAGGGCTTTTGGGAAATCTAGCCCTGTTCCAGATGTCTCTGCTCAGATATCATTACAGCAGCCTGTGATGGTATCAAAGGTTACTTATACAGGTATGTCTCTGTGGAAAATGCATACATTAAAAAAAATACACACAAGGTCAATACATGGGGAGCAGGAGAAAAGAGGAGTGTCCATACTAAAGCCTGTGATGTGTAACTTACCCTGTTTCTGCTTCTTGAATCACCAATCACATTCAAACTTCTAAGACAAGTTTAAATCTGCTTGGTGGCTATGAAAAAAATGCTTAGTGCTGTGGTTTTTCTTTTTAATAGGTTTCCTGGGTGTTAAATTCAGAGACGCGAAGCTTTAAGAGGGTGTTCTAGCATCAACAGCAGTTGTGTTACAGCATCATTTGACTTTAGATATAGGTAATGGTGTGGACTGGCATTTCATGCAAAGTATGCATGAAAAAACAAACTGCTCTGCAAGTGGGCTGTACTCCAACCAAGTAAGCTGCACTGCGTGCCATTTGTGCAGGTTGGGAACTGTATTAGGTGGACTATAGCAGCTGCTCTCGCAGATAACAATGATGCAATGTGTTATTAAAAAAAATTTAAAGTGCCAGTTGACCAGTCCACCTTTCAGAGATGGTTCCTGGTTCCATCAACCTCTGTTTTAGATCATCAATAATGAGCATTTTGGTGTGTAGTTAAAGCCAAAACTCCAGGGAAATGAAGTTTCCCCTTGCAGTGTGGTTTCCAATCGCACACCAAGGGTTAGCTGCTTGTTTATACCTGGGGGATAGGAAAAAGCTGTTTTTCTTACCTGATCTCTGCAGTCGGCACTCTCCTCTTCTACCCTCATCTCTTATGGACTGTCTCTCTGGGTCCTCAGGTACAATGCAGGGCTATGGAGCCTGCATTGTACTTGACATCAGTGGTCCTTAGATCACCAGAGCAAAGGGAGAAGAGGCTGCAGCGACTGGTGTAGCTGCCTGGAGGGAGCTGGCGGGAACAGGGATCAGGTAAGCAAAACACATGTTACTTGTCCCATAGACATAAACAAACAGTTAACCCTTCTAGTGTGGTGGCAACCCCAATGCAAGGGAACACTTATTTACTTGGAATTGGGTTTTAAAGAAACCCCCAGTATTTGGGTAATCTCCTTTATTCCACCCCACTGGGACCTGTGCTCATCATACCTCAGCACGGAAAGCATTCTGATAAGCTTAGCAAGGTGGTAACAATTCAGACATGCTCATCAAGATATTGGCTCAATTCACTTAACTATACCACCTGTCAAGTGACATAACAACCAATATAATTCAGAAAACCAATGACAGCTCAAAATAGAACTCGCAACGTTGAAAACTACTATCATTATGAAAAAAACACAAATGTTATATCTAAGAAGATTGGGCCCATTGCTTTGTACTCTGTGTTAGGCAACTCTATTAGGAAAGCATCAGAAAGCACCGTTGGTATGAATATACGTTTAAAAAGTGTCTTGCATACCGATCATGCCGCAATGCTCTCATGTCCACATACACAGTTGTGGGATCTGGTCCAGATGTTCCCTGAAATACAATTGGTATTTTAGAGTTAATACATTAGGCGATACAACCTTACAGTAACAATACTAATAAGAAAGGGGATGTGTTGTACTCATTTTTAAAAGACAAACATTATTAAGACTTGCATTGATTTTTTATAAAAAAAAAAAAACCCTGGCTAGATAGAAACAAGACAAAATGTACAACAAATGTCAGTACATGGACTGTACAATAAGTTTTTACACACCAGAATCATTTACATTTTAGATCTAATAGTATAAAGATTTTCCTAAAACTTCTACAAAATAAAAGTATAACCAAAGTGTTATTTACTATGTGAAGACTGTCCTTAAAGATTTGATGTATAGTTACTATGGCAACCAATCAGAAATCAATTTTCTTTATTTATCATCAGGATAAGTGACTGCTTAAAATGTGAATCAAAAACTGACATTTCAGATAATGGAAGAGAACAGGAAGAGCATAACGTCATGTAGGCATTACAGTATGCTTGTATGTACCTTTGTTAAAGGGAAACTAGTCTTTCTAATATTCTAATGAGCCTCTAAAACTACATCTTTCAAAGAACATTTCAGGTTTTCTAATCAACAATTTGCAGCTCAATGTCTCTTTCTAATTAAGAATCTGTACAGAGTCATGGGGAGGGGATGTTTTACCTTTGACATTTAACATATTTTACCTTAAAAAGTCTCCCTTGTGTAGATGTCCAAAAGGTCTGAGGCTTTCAACATATCTAAAACCAAAACTTTTTTTCTTTGGATAGAGTAGGGGAGGGCAAAACAGCTGTTATTCTTTCCATCTGTGTCTCATTTGGGAGAACTCCTTTCACTTCCTGTCCTGTAGACTTAACAGGAAGTATAATGATATCTTTCCAATGTGAAGGAACTCCCCTTTTAGACTGCTGTCAGGGGAACAAGTGTCCCAAGTGAACAAGTACTTTGGTGGCAACTCATAATTTTGTATTTACCCGCATTTGTTGATTTCTGGTGACATTGGTGATCAGGACAAATATAGAGAGAGAGTGAGAGAGAGTGAATTTCACTAACGGGAGCCAAGATGGCAAAAAACCCCCCAAAAAACTAACAATGGTTCTAGCCTCCCACCACTATAATCAAATCTAAAAGAAAAAAAGTTTTGCTATTAAATATACTTTAAGCCTTGTATGTGTTCTGTATAGAGCTAAATACAAATGGATTAAATTAGACTCCCTTTAGAGCATTGACACAAAGTGGTGCAGAAAACCTGCAGACATCAGAGCTCCATCTCCTGAATGAATGTGCTAACTATTAACTACACATTTAATGCCAAGTTACCCAACCCTATAGGAACATTCTACTCCAAATTAATGTTTCAATCCTCAGTAGCTGCTGTTTTGCCTCTCTAGAACTCCAGTGGTGAAATTGTTTTTCAAGGCTACACACCAGCCTCAGCATTTTCACAGCAGTCCCATTGTCTCAAGGATTTCTTATTTTATTTACATTGTTGTAAATGTACCCAGAGAAGGAAGAATGCTCTTAGAGCAGGAAAAGTGGGAGCACTCTTACAGTAGATGAAGTAAGTCTTCAAGGTAAGTTGGAACTAAACCAGGATTTCTGGCAGGAAGATCTCCATCTTGTACTTTCTAAAAGATGTAAAAAGATGGTCTAAAAAGACCACCAGATTTCTCCTACAATTTAAATATTAATTTTGGTGAATTCAATTTTTTTCCAATGCTCATTTCTTCTGTAAACATAAATGGGTAGAAAATGTGGAGTGAGGAGATAGGGCACCTGCATTCCAAAACACAGCTTTTGGTCATTATTAACTAATTAAATCAAACCATACAGCACACGCAACAGTAAACGAGTGATCAAAACGCACAAAGGAAAAAAACAGAAAAACTGACTACATTTTATAATGTTATCTGTGCAGTGGTAGAGGTTCAATTCTCCTAGAAACATATAGAAAGCCTATTCATTCAAAAACACTTTGCAGAGCTATACAGCTCTGTACTCATCTGGAAACACAGGGAACGGACATATAAAAGTGAAAAAACAGCAAAAGTGCAAATATTAACCATAACAGTCATCATTTAATTTATTTACCACAAAAATGTAAACATGTGTCTGACTATCTGCCTTTGACAATACTTACACTTATCTTTCCCTACAGTTAAAATACTTGAATTTTCAGTCCATGCTGTTTTATCCATCCAGTCAGTTGGTTAGCAAGGAGTGCTGGTTCTTGCAGATGTTTATCCGCACCCACAGCTTTTCAGCTTAATAAATCTGGCCTAAACAGAAACAGTTTCTATACTCTACTTTCTAAAGGCAGATTTCTAAATATAAATCTATAAAAAAAAATTTGGCTCACTTTCTGAGGCTGCTCAAGTGCAAGATAACCGACCTCCTAAACCAGTAAAAACCCCAAAATATTTGCAACTGGCACCCACTGTGCTTTAATGTGACCCTGTGGATGCTCTAAAACGGAAACAGCACATAAGAGATGGTGTGTACTATAATGTCCTATCACTCCAACAGGCTGAAAGGGCCAGTGATCGGATATACATGTAGTGACTCCTTTTTGTGCTGCCTGGCCTCAAAGTACATGTAAACCCTAAAAATTAACTTCTCTTATTTTTCCCCTTTTGTAAATGCCTTTACAAACACTTTAAGGACCAGTAAGAAGGCAAAGGAGGGCATGGGGCTAAGCACCGTTTTAGCACTGTTTGCATATCAGGTCACCCAAGCTTTGAGGCTGCTTCAGTATGTAAGCTTACATCACATTTCTTATCATCAATGATGGTCACACAGTGTCACTTTAAGGTTATTGTCTAGTCAGCATATATGATTGTATGTGTGCTCACACCGCATATAGCTCCTAACTTTTGTTCATTCTTCAACATGTGAAAAATTGCTAAGACATCATAAGCCCAACAAATGAACTGCCATACCTATATGCAATTCACAGAGAAAGAGTTTTTCCTCTGAGGTTACATTGGGTTTATGCTTTGTGGCAAGTTCATATATAATTGGCGCTTAACAGAACTTTTTTAGTTCTAATAAAAGCTCATCTTCATTCATTTCACTATTACATTTATCCAGTTATTAGCAGTCTTCCTTTGCTATCTCTCCTGGGACATTATCTGTATAAAGTTTGTATGTTTTCCTTGCATGTGGTTGGGTTTAGTGGTCACCAGGACATCACTAGTATTACTCAAAGCCTAGCCTTTGCTGTAAACAAGAATTGCAGGTACCTTCATTAATGTACAGTTTTCTCTGTAGCCCAGTATACTAATTCTATTTTAATCAGAGTCATTAAAGTGTATATAAACCCAAAACATTTTCATACTCAGTGAGGCATCATGACAAACTTACTTAAAAAACAAGTTTTGGGTTTACATATACTTGAAGGCAGTTTCCAGCTCTGCTACAGAAAAACAAATTAAGTCAGAGGTACTGAACCAGTATTGTTAAAATGGTAAAATGGTAGGGGATCTAAGGCTTATAAAGATAGACCTGTGCCGCATTTAGCAAAACATAATAAACCCCATGTGCACGGACACAGAAACGTTTCCGAGAATACTTCCATGACAATACTGCATAATCATTATCAATCACAGACTCAGACCATTGCTTTTTAATGGTTTATATTCTTACCCTATGGAGAAAAGCCAGTTTGCCTTCCATCTATGACAGCACAGTAAATCAGGATTTTTTTTTAAATATGGCTGCAGCCACTGTCATTTATATTAACACCTTACCAAATTTGTCTGCTCCAGTTTTAATAAATTCTCTTCACACAGGGGGGAATTTATCAAAAGAGGAGCATACAGAATTTTTTGGAGCAGTTGCCCAGGGCAACCAATCAGGATCTCTCCAGTTTGCACAGGTCAGATTATGAAAATGAGACAGAGAAGCTGATTGGTTGCAGAGCAAATTTGCTCCTGATTTTGCCTGCGCCTGTTTTGAAAAATTCCCCCCATAGTGTATAACTTTGGTTAGAAAATGACTTCAGATTACCTTTCAGGATGTGACCAGAATGTGAACAAACAATATAACAAGGATAAGTAAAGGCCTGTGTTGAAGGGCGTTTGCAAGTGGGTTTTGCATTGTCATAGAAATCTATGGGATGCAAACTTCGCTTGAAGCAGGTTAAATGCAGATCAGAATGTCAACTGCAGGTCAAATGCACCTGCCAACTAGTTCTAAATGATCCATGAAGTATCTCAAACTGAATGTCAAACTGATGCCACCAACACAAGCCCAAAGCCTGTCCAAACAGGACCTAACCCTGCCTACAAGGCAAGATTAACCAGCATGGGCAGACATCTTGTTATTTCCTCCCATATTTTATAGTAATATTTATTGCAGTTAGACCAAGTTAGACTACTCAACTAGAAACTAAGGGAACTGAAGACAGAGTTCTGACTCCTCCGTTCTAATCGTATTGTAAACAGTCCAAATGGAAGTGATTGATGGAGCATGGCTTCTTGGAAACAAGGTTCATTGCAACTTGGGGTATGCCATAGTATGGAAAATCAACATTACATTTTTGGTGATGTCTGCAAATATTTCTTAAGGCTGACTTATTTCCAGAGATGGAGAGTTAGTAAAATGATATTTATACTTGGGAGCCCTCACAATGCCAACAGTGCAGCTATGATTTATACTTCTCTTTAACCTAAAGGCTTTAGAACTGAATACAACTAATACACTAGGGCTTTTTAGAACACGTAAGATTAGAAAAGCAAAGTTTCAAATGTAAGTCAATAAGAATTCTGTACTGCAAAGGTATCTGGAAAGGTTTACGGGTACAGCTGTGCTTAAATTGAACAATGATAGGAGTGGTGGGAAACTTTAGGCGTTGTTTAGAGGTGAACTCCAGGCAAGAAGCTGAATACACAGTTAAAATACATATATATTTCGGAACCTCTTGAATTCTGTCCAGCTGCTCCATTGATTCAATCAATCTTGCCAAATCTTCAACACTCATTGCAGCAGTAGCACAGTTTGTTCAAAATT